TCGCTCTCCTCTCGCGTGCGGTCGCGTTCTAGCGTGTCGCTCAACCGCGTTTTATTCGACGGGGATCGCGCGCGCTTTCCTCCCATTTCGTGCCATTTCCACGAATCTCCACCGCCTCGTTTATTTTCAACGTTCGTGGTCAACGTTTAGTAAAAATTTCGCACGAGGGACGTGGCTCGGTCCGATGGAGACGATGAGTAATAGGGTGGATAGATGGTTGCTAGAGAGATTGTTGAAGTTAATGGAAGAAGAGGAGACGTCGAGCAAATAGGAGGATTGTGACGTTTTGGAGAGGAAAGGGAAGGAAATTTTTCATTTTTCTTCGTTCTTTGATTTTTTTTATGATAACGAAGGAGACGTTGAAAATAGGAAAATTTGGAAGGATTTGGAAGGAAAGGAAACGAAATTTTTTACTGAATTGGAGAAATCGTTGTTGACAAGATAATGAAGAAGAATCTTTGAAGTCTTTGAAAATAGAATTGTAAGATTTGGTGAGGAAAGGAAACGAAACTTTTTAGTTTCCTTTGTTCTTTGATTTTTTGAATCGAATCGAGGAAATCGTCGTTGACAAGGATAATAGAGGAAGAAAAATGAATCTTTGAAAATAGAAAAATTGTAATATTTCGTAAACATAATTCTGTAAGTTTCGACTATCCTTTAGACTTTCTGGATCTTGCGTAGATAATAATTTGCCATACCATTTCGTAATTGGAGAGTGAATGCAATGCGATTTAAAATTTTCGAGTTACATTACGAGGGTTAAATCGAAACGATAAATTTATTAAGCGAAATTATTAAGCGTAGAGAGTACTTTAACCGTGCGATAAATGAAATTCTACTTGGTGTATGACAACTGGCTTTCCATCCGTCCAACTGGATCGTAAGTTAGATTGCGATTACAAAGTTGTGAGATTGTTCGATACGCGACAGTGAGTTTCTCACTCGAATTCTCTCTCCCTATCTATTTATAATTATTATCCGTTGTACGGATAATAAAAACGAGAAATGGAAAGAATATTTATCAAATGTTGACTCGAAACGTGTCAACAATCGATGAAATGATTTCCCTGTTATTAGATCGACGATTGTGCATCGACTTCTCGTTTCACGCTCGATTCAATCAACGGTCGGGCCGGTATTGTTGTTCGTGGAAGAGCGCCAGTAGCGAGATGTATCGCGCTATTTGCTCGATGAATAACGTTATTGGCGAGATTCGATCCGTATTTAATTTTATCGTCATACCCAATAACGCGTTATTTGATTACCTTTCCTGTTTGACGCGGCCCGCTTCCTCGCGTCTGATCAACGCGTCTGATTCCACTTGGCGTAGTCCTGCGATTCGATTTACCACACCAGACCCTATCCACCATTCAAATACGCGTGTACAGAACGAATTTGATCTCGGTTGAAATTTCGTTACTGCTGAAAATTTGAAATAATTATCGAAAAGAAAAAAACAACATGTGTTTACTTTAAACTTTTATTAGAAGAATTTCGCGCCACTGTTTCCTCTTCGTCCGAGTGGAATTGGTGGAAAAGGTCACTTCTCTCGCTCTCGTCATTTCGCGGCGTGAAATTATACGCAATTAATATGCAGCGCACGTAATTCCCGGTAAAGTTAGAAAATCTGATTATGTACGGCTTTTAAACAAGAGTGCGTATACGAGTCGATGAATATACGTAAATAAACAAGAAAGTAAGAGTAAAGCCAATTCCAATGATTAACGTTAACGTTAAAGTAAAATTTTTTTAATATCTCTCCTAATTTTATGTCAACGAAAAACAACGACATAAGTTCGATCGATCCTATTAACCATCCGTCATCGATTTCTCGATATAAAAGAAATATACACAGAAGTTCGAACAGGTAGAATTTCACTGTGCATCCGAGAAAAGTTGTTAAAGAAATTGTTGGCAAAACAGGAAACAAGTCGGGAAGGAAAAACTGTCGATTTAAGTCAAAAGTAAATTCAACTTGTCTCGAAACTTCTCCGAAGAGGGAAGTTCGAGCGACTAGCAACAACCACGTTGCCTAAGGTTGTTGCAGCGTGGCTGGAAAAATAGGGGGAAGGCTTGACTAACAGGCAAGGGAGGAGGAAGTTCTTTCTCGAAAAAGAAGAGAAAGAAGCGTCGGGTTGACAAGCGATGTTGGACTCTGCCCCTTGTTCCAACGCAGCTGATGGATCATAGATCATAGATTATTATTATTATTATTATTGTCATTCCTTCATACGATTTGATTTATCAAAGTACAAAGTTAGAATTAAAAAAAAAAAAAAGTTGAAAAGTATAAAATTATAACGAAACTTGAAAATTAAAATTCAATTACCAACGTTTAGCTTGCGAATGGAATAATAATGTGGAAAATTTATTCGAAAATCCTTTCATCCATTCGATCGCATTATCGAAAATAATGAAGTGGTAGAGGTTGGCCAGGGTTAATTACCTATTTAATATTTTATTTATTTAAAACCACGTATCCGGGCGGAATTTTCAACGGAAAGCACATCGATCCTGGTGCAGTAATTACGCCAGTGTTGCGCCAGAACGATTTCCGAGAAGAGAGAATTCCAAAATAGCACGTTACTTCGTATATCTGGGAATATCTGAATTTGTGATTGTGCCGAAGAAAACGAGATTACGTTTTCCTTTGCCATTGTGTGCAACGTCCGAGGATAGAAGAAGAACGAAAATAAAATGGAATAAAATTTCCTCCCGCGTCGCGTAAAAATATATACAAAACAAATTTGGAATTTCATCAGTTTTACTTTTGCATTTTCGTTCAATTTTTTTTCCCCCCTCCTCCATTTATTTTTCAACAATTGATTATTTTTTCAGATATGATAACAAGTTTATTTTTCCAGTACGATATATATATATATATCTCTCTCTCTTTCCCCGTATTTTTAACAAGCTAATTCTTTTTGAGGTCACTGTTTTAATATCGGAAAAAGCATTATACCCGTTGCATAACGCATTCACGTTGCATAAACGGTCTCGTTCTCCTCTGCGAGATTCGAGCAACCGATTCTCAAAGGTGCATTCGTTACTCCTCTTTTTTCAATGGATTTAGAACGCAGATACCGATCCATGAATTTCAATCAAACGTCTATATTCGTATATATATCCATTTATTTTTTTTTTTTTTAATTCTTCGCAAAATCGCAAAACATTTCGTCGTACACTTTCACAGATTCGAAAACGTGCTCTCATCGCTCCCTTTTGTCGCAAAAATTGATCCCATTCCGTTATTTCTCGATTTCTTTTTCTCTCTCTCTCTCTCTTTCTCTCTCTTCCCCAACCTCGGTTTCAGTCCATCGAGAATCGAGGGTATCGAATTGGGTCTTCTTGATCGATGATCGATAATCGGGTACGCGTAATTGGGACAGCTGTAGGCGATTCGTTCTCTCGAAACGAATGTAAAAGTGTTTTTGGCCAAGTGATTCGAATTCACGGCGGTGCGCTCCTCTCGAAAGTACGCCTACGAGGAGAATACTAAGCGAAAGTTTCACCTTCTGGCGGCGGAAACGCGCGTCCACTTTCACGGCCACTTCCGAAACAAATATTCCACCGTCGTCCATTTCCCAGCCGAGAACTTTCGTGTCGGTTTCGATACCCGTTTATTATTCCTTTATTAATCGCTTAAATCGTTTAGCTGTACTTTGCTTTCGACGATTTCGTTCGACGGAAATAGCGAGCTCGTAGATTTTGAAACGAACGTGTCGGACGATTTCTGAAATAATGCGTTGCATAAGTGTTTTTTTTTTCTTCTTTCTTTCTTTCTTTTTTTTTAACTTCGCTGCTCGATATTCATGGAAATATTACAATAGATTTAACATACAATTTAAATTTCTCGCAAACTCGGTGAATAAATCTTTGCTAATGCTCGTAAGACACGCTAATAAATATTAAATTTCATAAAGAAAGGCGTTAAAGTTTAACACGAGCTTTGAACGAAACTGGGAATTATCATAAATCGAATCAATGTCAAAGGCAACTTTGCTCGATCGACGATAACGAATGACAATGAACGACAACGAAGTTTGAATCGTGACGATATCCGAGCCGATGTCCTTGATTTCATATTGGAACATACGTTCGCGTGAGTAACCTCAATGACGTTAAAAATTGCCTCGAACGGCGTGCTAACTTCCTCTTAGCCTCGACCATAATTAACCACTATTTCGCTATCAAATAGAAATACGTGTTTTCAACGAAGCAATTAGCGCGATTCTAACAATCATATATTTCTTTCGTACTCGCTTAATAAAAACGTACGATTTATCTTCGCGGACGAACGGTGATACAATTTTCTTATATCTTAATAATTCAATAATGAAACGTTGTGTAAAAGATATACCTTTTTGCTCCTCTTATATCCCTCTCGCGTCGATCTTCGAATCAAGAAAGAAAGGAAAGGAAAGAAAAATAAAGATGGAAGGAAGGGAAGAATTGAAATTGAACAAAATTGATCGTGGTTATCTAATCTCGGCGAATCGTCACGAATGACAACCACGATATCTCATCCGCGAAAATCACGCGCGAGCGTGTCATCATCGATTTCCGCGCCCCGCTTTCCCACCCGTCGAACGCGTGCGCGAGCAACGCCGGTTATCGACACACTCTCGCGATCTACCCACCTCCAATCCTCCTCTCCCTTCCGTTCGCAGAGACAATGCCTCCTTTATCGTCTTTTTTCCCGCCATTCGTCGCGAATCGACCGACCAAAAAAAACAGGGGGGGGGGGAAGCAAAAGGAAGGAAGGAAGGAAGAAAAAATACTCGAAAAATACTGGAACACAGTGTCATACAGCGTTAATGGTAGGAGTTGGATTGGCTCGAGGTTTGCCGAGGCGCAGTAGTGGCGCGTGGCGAGGCCCCTCTTTCTTTGGAGGCTTTCGGTGGAGAAGTGCGGCGTGGATCGAGTTTCCCTCGTGGCGGGCGACGCGCGACGCTTAGTTTCGCGGCGGCAGTCAACCGCCTCTCGTCCCTCTCGGAGGGTAGGATCGCGGAGCGATGGCGCAACGCTGCGCGCGCGGGAAACGCTCGCTCGCCTGTTTCGCGCTTTTCCTCGCCACCTCGTGCTCGGCCTCGATCCAACCCCGGCCGTTGGCGATCGGCAACACGTTGGAGCAGGGCAAGGACTACTTCATAGGCCCGTGCCTGGTCAACACGAATCAGACGTGCCCCGACAAGGAGGTGACCTTCTTCCTGTACACGAGCAGGAACCCGAGAACGTGGCAGCAGATATTCGTGGACGGGAGCGGGTCGAACTTGAGACGGACCAACTTCGACGCGTCGAACCCGACCAAGATCGTGGTGCACGGCTACGACTCGGACATGGAGCTTTCCTATCTGGTGGACGTGAGGGACGAGTACTTGAAGAGGGGCGATTACAACGTGATCGCGGTGGACTGGCGTCGGTTGGCCAAGGCCCCGTGCTACCCGATCGCCGTGCAGAACGTGCCCCACGTGGGCGATTGCTTGGCCCAGTTGGTGGAGAGGCTGAGGGACGAGGGCGCGGTGGACGTGCACGTGATCGGGTTCAGCCTGGGTGCGCACGTGCCCGCGTTCGCCGCCAACGCCCTCAGCCCTTACAAGGTGTCGAGGATCACGGGCCTGGACCCGGCCATGCCGTTGTTCGTCACCGTGGACAAACGGGAGAAGCTGGACGCGTCCGACGCCCATTTCGTCGACGTGTTCCACACGAACGCGTTCATCCAGGGCAAGGTGGAGATGAGCGGCCACGTGGACTTCTACATGAACGGGGGCGTGAATCAGCCGGGGTGTTGGGAGGGGTGGAGGCCGTTCGAGTGCGACCACCACAGATCCGTCATGTACTTCGCCGAGTCGATAAACACGGAGCTCGGTTTCTGGGGCTGGCAGTGCGGTGGTTTCACTTTCTACCTGCTCGGCCTCTGCCCCCCGAGATATCCGGCCGTTCTCGCGGGCGACAAGGTGGACAGGAGCAGAAGGGGCTTCCACCTCGTCAGGACGAACGCGCACAGCCCTTACGCGATGGGCAATTTCACCGTGAACCGATTGGACGTGTACACTGTGCAGTAAAGGAGAAGAAAAGAAAGGAGTGAATTGGTGGTGAAACGCGTTCCATTCGACGCGGTTCGTTCGTACGAATTTTTCGCGGAAACAGGGGCGAGAGAGGCGGCGCGTGGCCTCTCGTTATTCCCGGAAACTACGTGTTATTCCTCCGGCCAGCGTGAGAGTCGGTTGAAAAAAAGCATTCCGTGTCAAGGTCAGGGGGGGGGGGATCCCCGCCACCTGCTGTTAATCGATAGCGTGTTCCGCTGGTGGGAGGGAGAGGGGAGGAGTGTAGTGAGGCTGCATTGCTCGCGTTTAGAACTTGTTCCTTATCGATTTTTCACGTGCGAACGAGAGAACTCGAAATTTCGAATAAAATTCCGATTTTTTTTTTTCTTCTTTGTTTCGTTTCGTTTTGAAAGGGTTCGATTTTCGTTCTTTTTTTTTTTTTTTCCTCTTTCTTGGACATATTACGTTAAGTTTTTTCTTTTTTTTTTTTTTTCTTAGATTAGAATTACGTTTGAAAACGTAAAATAACGAACGAACGTTAAAGACGATTACTCGGTTGATTTATCGTGCTGTATTTCTCGATAGTAAATGACCGATAGCTCGTTACGTTGATTTTGCAATCGTAAATAACAAAGAATAAATTTGAGATAAAAGAGAATTCGTAATAACAAACAATCTCGACGCGTTTTGCTGTTCGATGACTGTAAAAAAAAAATTATAATTTAATTTAAAAAAAAAAATAATCGTCTTAAATTTTTATATATCGTTCTTTATTTAACGTTATACCATCTCTGTAAAAATAGCATAGTTGTATCAATTTTAAAGAGAAGAGAATTCGAGTGACGATCGACGTTACGTAATCTCCTTACGTAACGATTCGTTTCGAATAAATTTCTGTCTTATTGTTAAAATTAACGTATCGATAAAGCGAAAAAAATTTTAAGACTGTATAAGAACAAAAAAAAATTTATTCCATGATATGTTCCATTCCATTTTATCTATATTCGTTATCGATAGATTATTTATATTTATAAATATTTTATGTTTAAATTTTGATGCAACGAAAATAAGAGGGATTATTTGTCCTTTGAATCGTTCTTTTATTCGAATTTTTGTCGCTTTGAATTTTTATTTGTTTTCCTTTCGTCGTCACATGCTTTTTTTATTATCTTTAATTATCTTTAATTTATAAAAAAATTGCAATTAATTATTGTAAGATAATGTCTCTGGTAAATAATATCTATATTTACTAATACATATTCGTGTACGTATATAATTCTAACTTGATAATTTAATTGCGTTATCATCGGAAATAAATATCATTTTCGATAACAAAAAATTCTCAAAATCGTTGCATTTGCAATTAAATTGGAAAAGTGTGTCATCATCGTTGCTTACAGGGGAAAATTTTCACCTTTTGACTAATCTCGAACGTAACAATTTTATGATACCAGTATTATTTATTTATTTACCTATCTATTTATCTATCTATCTATCTCTAAAACATTTTTATACGTTAAATAACATTTTCAACCGTTAAACTATTTAAAGCAATACGTGACGATACTACCTTGTTAGTGAAATCATTTCTACATTAAAATAAATAAAATACAAACTTTATAAAATTAACGCGTACGTTCAATCGAAGTATTATTCCATTCCGATTTCACAACGATTAAGTGCAATGTTTATCTACTTTGAGGAAAAATTGATAAGAGATAAAATAATCCGATAAATACTTGCACGATAAAAAATGAATTTCTTCATATATATTTGAATTTCTTTCCTTCGACATTTAAAATAATATTGAATCAATTATCTATGCACATATTTATACTTCAATTACGCTTCTTCGCTCGTAAATATATTTTTTTACTTTAAAAACCCATTTGATTATCTTATTGAGAAATATGCAAATCCATGAAAGATAAGGAGAAGGAAGTGTGGTGGACGCTTCACTGATATTTGAAGAAACTTCGATTTCTCGCCATTTCACGAAGTCTGGTATCTTTTTCTTTTACGACGTAAAAAACAATGGACAATTGGTGTCGCAATTGTATGTACCATCTGTTCACCGCACTGCGCAAAATATTTTACATAACTGTCGTCGTTGTTCGTTCAACGATTAAAAAGAAGAGGAAGAAGAAGTGGAAGAAAAAACTCGATCAACGATAAATCGATGAGGAAGCATTCATGAGTCTAAGAAGAATTTATCACTTGAACGGGACACGGTGCAAAGACCTTTAGGTGATCCAAAGATCTAGAAGCCTTAGTGCACGATCCTGTTAGCGTCTTTAAAGCCGATTTTAAACACAAAAAGGTACATCGTGCTACGCGCATAAGTCCAGTGTTTCACGAGTCAAAGGCTCTTCGAAAGAGGAGGCTTCGATTAATTTTATCGTTTATTCCCTGGCGTCGAATTTCCACGATAATAGGGATCTGCGTTGCGTTTATTATTATATTATTATCGCATACAATTCGCATTGTAAATCGAGAATTTTTAATATTTTTGTGTACATAAATCGTTTCGATTCATCCAATTTTTGTTTCTCGCTCCTCGCTGCGGCGCAAATAATTCACTTCTGTGCTAGTTAGATTCATTTAAATTGAATCATCACCAACTCGAATATTAAACAAATGGAAAGCACGTTTTGCAAGTTTGGATTGTGCCCAAACAATTCGTTAGTAACTAACGAGGCTCTCGTTAGCTGGCACGTGATGCCAAACGCTATAGATCCCCATGAAAAAAAGATTCACCGACTAATTCGTTAAAAAATATCCAATTGTTACAGGTAGGGATTACGCGACACGATTTAACATATAAACAACCCGCGCGTAAATTTATTCAAATTAATTCTTACTTTCATATATATAAAAGGAATTCGAAATTTCCAATAATTATATTTGTAATAATTTCTTATAATTACGCAACGCCTCATAAAATATAATTTTTAACGTAAAATTTTCTGTGGCGAAGAACACATTTTGTATCATTAATGCAACATTTTGGGATCTTTTTGTCTTTTGTTGGGGAGCGAAATAAGCGTGCTTCCAGTCCATTTAAACGAATGAGAAATTAGGAGGTCGAGGCACGTGACGCAACGGGGTGCACATTGTGTGTCGCGGTGTAAGCTTTGAATTTAATTTTTTAAAAAGGGGGCGCGATTTCGCCGAGAATATTTAAAAACGCGTCTGTTGGATCCCCTTGTTGGATTAAATTATACATATACAGGGAAAAAGTTATTCGTTCGGAATAATAATAAATTCGATTAGATCGCGCCACGGATTTCTATCGATTTTATCGTAAATAACATTCTCTTCCATTGACATGCCTCTGACACATCGTTGTCCTTCCTTCTTCCTTTTTTTTTTTTTTCTTTAATCAAATTTCCACGTTATTATAAATTTTAAAAAATAGGGAGGCACAATTTGACAGAGATATGAGAAATCTCGGGCATAGAACGTGGCGCCGCAATCTTCGGTAAATTATGGAACGATTTATGAAACGCATAGTTGGCCGACATCTACCGGGATACTCGAAATTCCGCGAATTTTCTTCGATCGATACCACCCTACCTCTACCTCTACCTCGCCTGTGCGACGAGTTATAACGCGTATTAAAAGTTGGGTAAATTATTTATGAAGTGATATCTTTTATCTACGATTTAAAACTTGGCCCGAATGCGCGATACGCGCGATGAGAAACTCGAACAACTTTTTGAAATACGGATTCGAGGATGCAAAGCCGGGAAATGTATCTTTTAAACGATGAACGATAAAATGGAACTGGAATAGCGCGAATAGCGCGAATGTTTATCACGAAAAAAAAGTATATATATAGTTATAAAAGATGAAAATATTAGAGTAAGTAATATGAAATTCAATTAACAATTTGATAATTATATATTCTTTCGTTTAACGTATGTTTCGAAAGAAATTCAGTTTATTTCATTGAACAAAAAAGTTAAATCGTTTCGATATATTAAAGAAAATTTGAAGCATGTATTTTTAATTATAACGATAAAAGAAATAAATTGGCTGACCTATCGTGTTAATGATTATGAACTGAATCCTGATTCAGAAAATACAATTTTCTTAATCAATTTATTAAACACTATCCCATCATATCGTATATTGATAAAAAATTGTAAAAATTTTTCCACTAATACTTCAACAAATTTTCACAACTTATTCCCCTCAAAACACTCGCGTTACTACCCGATTTCGATCCCGATCCCCCAAACATTTATACGGCATATTTCAATTCCTTTCAACTTTTTCCCTCGACACTTCTCTTCATCCCCTGCATCGAGGAATAAAAACCGGTCCGTATTCCATATATTCCTACACCCTTCCCCTCCCTCCCCTCCTCTTCGACACGAAGATAAATTCGAAAACTTGGAAACTCTTTATCGATCGCAAGATCATCGTTAGATCGATTAATTTCCACCCGATCGCGACGGTTATTTTCTGGCCGATCGCGTTTTCGAGAACGTAATCCGCGGATAGTTATGAAAATTTAATGGAGTAACGAGGAGCAAGTGTAAAGCGTATGATAGATATCGGGCAGTCGGATAATGAGCGCGCCTCGCTTCGTTAATGAGCTTACTCGTAATTGCGCGTCAGCCACCGTTTCGAATAATTGTTATTCGGTGTTCGTACACACGCGTGGACAATAACGATAATCGATCGCGCCCCACTGCCTTCGTCGATTGTTTCGCGTGAAATTTATTTATCGGGCAAACCGCTGTCCACGGTTAATTAACGCGGCCTAAGGGGGAGGGCGTGCTCGTGAAATTACCGTGGTCACAGCGGCATGTCTGACGCCAGATTTTTTTTCGACATTTCAATTTCCATCGAGTTGTTGTTGTTGTATCGTTGTTACAACAAAAAAAAATGTAATTTCCACATTCTCCTTTTTTCTTTTCGTTTCGTATTCACTCGTGTCACGCGTGCGTTTGTCGGCTTATTAATTAATTCGATGCCCGATGTTAATATTTATATGAATATGTTCCATATTCGGCGAGGATAGAGTCACTTTTGGCCTTCTTGATGATAACAATAATAATAATAATAATAATAATAATAATAATATGGAGGCGAATCACGAGAGATTGAGAAAGTAAACATGATCCGCTTCAAAACGAAAATAATCGTTCGAACGGAATGATTATATACGACGTCGTATTGCTCTTTCTGAAATATCAATTTCCCCCGATGTTAATATTATAACGATCCAATATATTTAATACATATTTGATAATAATTATTATCGTATCGATAATCGAATTATTTCGACACCATGCATATTAATATTAATTAACGAAGTATCGATATAAACGAGATATTGCCGAATAATAAAATATTTAAGAGGATGATTAATAATAACAAGTAAGGATTACATATCCTCGTTTGGTTTCCTCCATCACGGAGGAAACGGTTTTCTTATCTTCGCGCTGAATGACACGAGTATTTTTTATCCCTCGAGTTGCCGAATTCTAAAGGGAATTAAACGAACAGCACGCGCGTCGTTCGCAAACTTGGAATGAAGGCGGACTTGGCGGCCGTTGTATTTCACGTCTCGTCTCGGACAGTTTATCCCGACTAATAATCTCCAGGCCGCAAACCGTGCTGCTTTCCTTTCAGCCCCACCCTCTAGTTAACTACTAGGTGGCATTTTTAATTTACGCTACCAGCAGCAGCTGCACAAAGCCGCTTTGAACCTCGAAATCGCGTGATAATGGGCAACGAGTAAATATATGTATATATATATATATATATACATATAGATATGCACACGTGTACGTACTGGAGCATAACGAAACATTGGAGAATTTTCCCTTTATTACACGGCCCGTCTTTCGTAATCGAGATCTTTGTCTATGAGAATAGCACACGCGGTTTTGATTTTTCCGTGAAAGAGCGTGATCGATTCGTTTTGTATTCGAAATGGTTTAATGATTTGTAATACGATAATCTTGGAATGTTTTCATGCGAAACATTGCAGAATTTTCTCTTTGTTACACGGCCTGTCGATGATCTTCGTTCATAAAAACGCGATTTTGATTTTTCCGTGGAAGAACGTGATCGATGTTTTGTATTCGAATCTTCGCCAATGTTTGGAAGCAAGTGAAAAATAAGACTTGATCTTTTTCTGATCCTTCTTTAATAAATTCGTCTCTCGAAAGAAGCGTATCCCCGCGGAACAAAATCGAAAAGAAGTCTCGCTAAGATCGATCCTCTTCACACGTTTTGTTGACACCACATGTAATGATAGAAGAGTTATAATTTGAGTATTCAAAAATATTGAAAATTGTCCTCGTTTAATCATGAAATCAATCCAAGACTGGAAGCTGAAATATTTTCGAAACTATCTATAATATGTCTAGCTTATTCGTATACGTAATTTATCATCCTAATTATTATCGAATTACATTTATAAGTTAAACTATCGTTATTAAATCGAAATTAATCTACGCATATTACGAGAAATAAAAAATACGTTAGAATACTCTGGATTCTACGCCAATGCAGCGAGGTTAGAGGTTACTCGTGAAATGAAAATAAGCAAAAAGTCTCAAATAAATTATTTCTCGTTCAAAGCGTAAATTCGAAAAAGAGAAAAAAGAAAGAGCAGATACACGCAGATAACCCTAAAACAAGGCCGCTGTACATTCGGAAGAAAAAAACATGCGGGGCAAATAAGCCATAACAGGACTCGCCAACGTTTTTCACGTCAAATCGGTTTTCATTTTCCGAACATGCTTTCCCAGTCAAAAACAGGAAAAAAAGAGAGAGAGAGAAAAGGGTGGAGGAGGAGGAGGAGGAGTAGGACAAAATAGGAGGAAAAAATGTACTCTACTCGCGAAAAAAGGGATGGAATGGAACGGTCGTCGATCATCGGGGCTCGATGGCGTATTCATACGAGGCTCTGAACGGTTACAACGGGGCCAGGCCCATCGAAATAAAAATCGAGGGGCCGAGTGGAAAGTAATTAGTTCTCCGTGTCACCGCGCCCCTGCGAATCGATACTCGGGTGTTTCGAGGACGGCGCTAAATTTACTCGGTCAACTCGCAACCCCCACTCCTCTTTCCCCTTATTTTTATCTCCTTTTTTTCTTCTTCTTCTTCTTCTTCCCTGCTCCTTTTTTATCTTTCGTTCTTTTTTTTTTTTTCTAGAATCGACTCGACAATTTTTGAAGTCGATTATTTGGGAAACAGTGGATCTCTGCAGTAGTTGCGAGATTTTTCGATCCTCTCGTGTACGTAGCGAGCCGATCGATTTTATGCTGGGGAGAAAATGTAATGTTGGGTCGAGCTGTTTGTTTATTTGTTCGATTTTTAATACGATGATAATGTAACACTTGGGAAAGGAATTTTTAAAGCTTCTTTACCGCCCGTTAAATTGTCGTTCTGGAGAAAATGAGAACGTTTTTTCTGTAAATGAAGTTTATCTGGTTCAACGCGATTACGATCCACAACGCGTTTCCTCGCGTGGTGTAGTCGAATTTTTTAATAGTTTCCTTCCGCTAAACGAGCACGTGCACTTAGTTTGTCGATAACACTCCACTTCGAATTTCGGCCTCACCCGTGTCAATAGCAACCTCACGCTGTATAATCTATGGATAAATCCAAAATAGTTTCGCGTTTATCGAGTTACCCGGTGTCTTTATTTTCGAGGATAAAGTAAAAAGCAAACGGAAGAGTATTATTTTTATCGCAATCTTCAAAGAAGATTATTTATAAATAACGGAAGAAAAGATTGCGATAATGTTAAATATTTGAAAATGTATTCTTCGTTATTTTCTGCGCGTTTTTCTTTCGAAAATAATCTTTTTACAGATATATCCGTATAACGAGAATAATCTTTCGCTTTATCGTGAAATTCTCGTTATCCCGCGTATCTTTCTTGTTTTTGCAATGCGACGATTGCAAGGCGACGTAATTCAATATTCCATGCGAGTTTTCGTAATATTAAACTCCAAGTCTAAAAGTAAAGAGGAAAATCGCTAAATCACGTCAATAAGCTACACTAGAGAGGGAAAAAAACGTCGAGTTGATAGCCTATTTGTTTCGCGTGGACAGCTCGATCGATCTCGAAGATGCAAAGGAAAAGCTCGATGTTCGTACGTAACAATAATAAGGAAGGGTGAATGACAATTCACGAACGAAATTTCCCTAAACTCTGTGATAACGACGATGAATTAATTAAAAATACAATTGATAAGTTTTGAAGTAAATCGTTCTTTTATTCGAGACAAGCTAACGGAGCTAGCAAAGGATAAAATAATACTTTTGTTATAATCTCTACAATGGAATTTAAATACAGACCGTCACATTTCTATTATAATTTCGAAAATAAATTTTTATGCACTTCCTCCCGCTTTATTATTCATTACACGTTCATTTTTTTCTTTTCGTTAAAAGGAAAGGAATTTTAAATTTTAAATTAATAATAAAATAAACTAAAGAACTTGAGCCCTTTTGTTTCGAAAATAAAAATAGACACGTGATGCAATTAACGTAAATTTACTTTTACAATTATTACGCAACAAAAAGGAATCGCATCGCGATCTCGAAAATTCCACTTCGGATGTTTCAGAAAGAACAACTACCTTCGAGAATTAATTTTTGAATTAATATTTATATTAATTTTTCTTTTCGCGAGAGGAACAAGTTTAGCAAAAGCAAAAACCTCTCCTCCTCCTCCTCCTCCTTTTCCTTTGCCAAAGCCTCCGCAATTCGATTTTACGAGAATTATGATGCGGAGGTCGTCTGTGCCTCGAATCACGTAGCCTTGAAACGGCGCATTTGCACGACCCATAAAAATGGCAGATGCGTCGACAACAAACAAAAGCAATGAACGCCGGAAACATGACGAATACGCGTCTGAAACTTGTATGGACTCCGCGCAAGTTAACCTCTCCCCTCGTCACGTCCGCCGCGTATATCCGCACCGACCAGCGTTTTCTTCAAAACTTAACGTCCCACGTTAAACGCATTCCCCTCGAAAGGCTTTTTCCTCCTCCAAGAATCACACCGGTAATTCCAGGCTTCGCGGTTGCGAATCACGTTGCGTTTATCGGGAAACGCGTCGATTTCCACTTACTTGAAAAGGTGGAGAACAGTTGTCGAGAATAAAGTTTATTATATACGCTTGATCGTTCTTCTTCGAGTGGCAGAAAAAGAGACGATCTTGACTTGTTCTAATTCTACGTGATTAATGTTTACTTGCAACAGAGTAAAAAGCGTTGCAAATCATACGTTTATTGGAAAACGTGTCGATTTACATTTATAAAGATTGCTATTGAGAAGATAGCTGTAATTATCAAGAGTTCGAATAATGTTTGTATAATAAGCTTGACGGTTCTTTCGAGAAAAAGACGATCTTGACTTATTCCACTCAGTTTAATCCCATAATGTTTATTATTCGAAAACGATTTGCATTTATACGTTGAAAAGAATTCGAACTTTATCAAAAGCAAAGTTTATATACGCTCTTTCGAGTGGCAAAAAAGAGACGATCTTGACTTGTTCTAATTCTACGATAAACCCAGCAAATCATACGTTTATTGGAAAACGCGTCGATTCGCGTTTATACGTTGAAAACACACCTAAAGTTTATCAAAAATAACTTGATGACTCTTTCGATAAAAATCGAACGGCGAGAGAGATAACAAACGTGATCTACTTTCCTCGGTTAAAAAGAGAAAAAAGAGAAAAAGAAAGAAAGGGTGAGATGCGGGTGCTATGGCGGGACTGATGCGTTTTACGGAATTGCAGTGCAACAGATGTACGGATCGAACGGGGCAAGCGCAGGGCTGCCGATGGGCATGACCACGTTGAAGTCGGGGGGCGCGCTGGGATCACTGGGGACCTACGGCTCGGCCCTCGGATCGGGGGTAACCGGTGCCACGACCCTGCCGCGGCCGGGAAACTGGCTGCGCCCTGCGGGCCTCAGGCACGGGCACAGCGCGGCCCGGGTCCGCCTCTACTGCCAGGCAAAGTGAGGAGCCACGGTTCCGACAGGTAAATACCGCCATCTATATTATCTCTTTCGTCCATATCTTTCGCCATCATTTTCACGGGAAATGACGTACGAATGAGACTCGTGTTTCGATTTAACGTTTCACCGATGATTTTATTCGCCGTGTTAGAGGTAAGTAAGCGAGGTCGTTAAAAGAGTCGAAAAATAAAATTGCTCAATCGAAAAACATTATCGAATAACATTTATTCGTAGCTATTTTACAGTTGATACGGTTGCTCGTATAAATTATTAAGATAACTTTATTCTCAACTTGAAAATTATATCAACTCTAATGTCCTAAGGTTTAAAAAACGTTTAAAAACATTTATACTTATGTATATGAAAACATTTAAAAAATAGATCATGATTTTTATTTACCATCGAACAATTTTATTGACGAATATTGTCGAAATCATAGTGCAAGAGGTTGAGAATCGAGTTAATTGAATTTAGTTGTTTAGTTGCTCGTTTGTCTCTGTTTTCTCGTCTCCTTCGATGCCTAATACTTTTAGCTTTTATCTTTTAGCTTAAAAGCACGCGAATATATATTTAATGCGACTTGGACGTCTCTTGGTAATACCGTCTCTTTGTCTTAAACCTTTATCCCTCGTCTCTTCCACGTCAACAAATCTTAACTAACAAAAATCTGCATATATAGTGGTTTGATGGATCAACGTTAGAAGAATATAGTAGATGTAATATCTCTAACGTGATCTTCTCTAGTCTTTAGTCTCGTGGGAATATTCTGCTCGTACCTTAGAGCCTTAAAGCGTAAGATATACGATACTGAACAAAAGTAAAGTTTCTGGGAGGGGTTGAGATAAAATAAGAGTCAAAGATAAGGATATTTTCGGCTATCGATCGTAAAACGACACAACTTGTGCTTATCGGAAGGATAAAAAATAACTGCTCCAACTCTCGAAAGAAATGCTGTGCGGAACAATAGTGATAACAGATCGATACTTGGACACATTGAAAGTTTTACTTTTCCTCCATCATATTTGTCCGATATTTTACGAGACTATTTTCTTTCTTTCTTTCTTTCTTTCTTTCTATCTTATTGCGTTAATAATCTGTTTTTCTTTTCTTTCCTCCTTCCTTTCTTTTTTTCTTCTTTTTTTATAATTAGAACGAGTTTCCATTCATAGTTTGATGAACGAATTAAAATTCAAAGTAATATAACTTATATATGGAGATCACGTTAGAATTAATGCATTTTGAAATGAGATTTCGAAAACTCTATTCGGGATGCGGGATTACGTTAAAATTACTTCAGCTTTCCAAGTTGGTCATATTTTTGGGACGAATGTTTGCATCAATTTCGGTTATACTTCACTGTCCCGTGATTGTTTGATTAAATTTTTAAGTTTAATTTCGTTTCGTATCGCGAAAACGATGCGAAAACAGTTTCGAACGTAATAGGATGAAAGATTATTCGTTAAAAATACACTTATCGCTTTTGAAAATTATTTTTACCCTCGACTTAAGCAAAAGAACTTTAATCCTAATACTAATAAAAATGTTTTTTGCAGCGACATCTCCTCCAGCCAAAAAGACGAATGGTTTGTGTAGGTGAGTTACCAAGCGAATTACCATAAACTCATTATCGAATCTCTCCACTTTATTCTCTATCCCCTCCTCACCCCCGTCTCAACATCTCCATTCCATTTCATCTTCCCAATACGGAAGATGGAAGGAACGAAACCATCGTACGTATAGAAATCACCACCTTTATCGCGAACGATAAGAAAAAGACGGGGCGAACAACTTCTCTCTCTCTCTCTCTCTCTCTTCCCTTCCCAATCATCGATCCACCTCGCACAATCCCGCCATACGAATCCACTTATTCACCCACTCTGCTTCCAATCCTGCTCGCAAAAAAGAAAGACAGACTTCCCCCCTCCCCCTTGCTCGCTTGTCCTCCGCAACCGCATCCACAACGCCGCGCAATCACGATCAGCTTGATTACACCGAGCGAAAAACACCGAACCGTGTTAGCAGATTTCACGAGAAATGTTCGGTTGAACGGAAGGTTTTTATATCTCTCTCCGTTAAAGATATCTTAACGATCTACAACAAAAGTGTAGTGAACGTGTGTGGTGTGTGTGTATATATATATATGTATATACTGATGAAAAGTTTCAAAGGAATAATTTTCGAATCTAATCCAACGTTGACTATTGTCGATCGAAAGATTAAAGAGTCCGCTATTGGATCGAAGATTGAGAGATCGGTACATAGATTCTTCGTACAAGGATATTCTAACAATGTCGATTATTGTTAATCGGATTTTGTTAAATCGAACGAAAGATTTTCACATTTATCATAGACGAGTATGTCGTATACAATTTCCAAAATTTTCTTCGTATCGGTTATTGTTGATCGAGAAAGAAAATCAGAACGAGAAATACCAATCGAATATACTCACCACGATATAAAACTTTTCGTTCAAACCGAACTTTCCGGATCTTTCCCTTCAAAAATTTCAACTCGATTCCCCTCACCTGACCGAGTACTACACGCGTTATGATGGTGGATTGTTGATGGAAACAGAGGCAGGCCTGGACCAGAGCCCGCAGGGTGAACCGGTGCGGTGGTGCCCTCACCGCCCCCTCCCGCCCCACGGGGACGTGGACCCCGTTCCTATCCACATCGGTCGCGTGTTACCGGCCAACATCATCACCTGGCCAACGTGTTGGCGTGCCACGCAACTCACCAACCGCGGATCGGCCAAGTTTCGACCGGCGCTGCTGCGTGTCCAACCCGGCCGACGACGAGGCGCGTGTGCCTCCCTCGCCTGGATCGTACAGCTCCGTCAACAGGAAAATACGTGCGTGCGTGTATGCGTGTGTGCGAGTGTTCGTGTGCGTGTGCGTGGAGCTAGACAGAGTCGTCGCTCGTCTCTGATCTTCGCGTTTCGCGAAGGCGTGGACGACACGTGATCCGAAATTGGACAAAATTTCGTTGCAGCGCGAATATACGTCGTTGTGTATGCGTGCACTTGTTAGAGAGAGAGAGAGAGAGAGAGAATTCGAATGGAGAATGGAAATCATCGAGAAGCAGGCAGCGGAACGAGCGAGCAGAAGATTCGTTCTCGTTGCGCAAGATGATTTGTCCCACCCCACCCCACCTTCTTTTTCTTTTCATTCGTCGAATTTCGCGTAATCTAGTCGCGCGAACGTCTCCATCGCGGTAACCGATTTTCGATGGAAACCAGTTTTTCTTGTGGAATCGCGCGACGTGGATTTCGAGGATTAGGATAATAGTAGGGAGGAAATTCTATCCGTAATTAAAAATAATTCTCGTTAAATAGTACTTTTGGGATGAAATTGAGAATAATCCACGAGGTGTATGCGCTTTTTCGACGCACGTCACGAAACCGGCCTTTTTCCCGTCAACTCGGGATCGAAAAACGTTTCGTATCGGGAAAATCGTTACCCTGGGACGCGTGTGCGTGATGAGCGCGGGTGCAGTACGTGTTAAATGAGCGCGCGCTCGAGTGGGCGAGAAATCGCGAACCGCAGGAGGGGCAAGGATTGGTAAGAAGAATGATTCGTTGTGCAACGCTGGCGTTTCACTTCGTCCACCCGAAACATTGAAGAGAAAAAGAGAGGGAAAATGGAAGGAAGACTTCGTTCGTTTCATTTGTACACCACGTAGATATGCGAAGATCGATTCGTTTCTTTGGCTCGTGGACGATATGGTAAAAGAAAGAGGAGGAGGCGCGCCCTACGAAATCGATCAACGTGCGCGCAAGATATTTGCTACGCGAAATACCCAACAATTGACGTTGTCCACTTTGGAGCGGATGAGAACCGAGACAGTTCGAAAAATCGACAATCGCTGTAGCGTGTATTTTTAGCAGAGGTATTATCGAAAATATTAAAGTAACAAAGAAATAATATTCATATATATGTTTTTTCGATACGTTCGGAATAGACGAATCGCGCCATAGAGGAGTAATCGACGAAAAACCATCCGTCAATATCGACTGAACCCCCTATTTTATACGAATTTTTTTCCAATACCTTACGTTACCTGCACAAATGTAAATTAATCGCACAAAATTTTTATACCCAACGATCGAGTAAAAATGAAGAAAAAAAGTAAAAAAAAAAAAAAANAAAAAAAAGATAGTACATCGAGTATTAGGAAATAAAAAAAAACA